GGAGTTTCGGCCAATGGCGTGCAATGAGCGCTCTGCAACATTCTGGAGCGGAAGCTTATCGCGCAGTTGAACCGCACGCGTAAGCACAAGTCGAGTATGACTTGATGTTGTCATAGCGGACACTGATTGGCTGCCAGGCTGCCCGCATTTGTTTGCCAGCTGGTTTGGCCTGTTGCGGCACGTGTGTTCGCCCTACTCCCTTGCGGTTCGCGCGTCTCCGTACCAAAATCCATCAACAGAACCAAATGTGTGCGCTAAACTGCGCATGTTCACAAAAACATGCACGTGGGCAGCTAAGCCATCAGATTCGAGGGGGCGTGAGCACATGTATGACAGAGGAAGGACAAAACTTACAGTCCTGGCGCACAGTTGAAGAGGAACGTGGAGAAAACGCCAGCCATCGAAGACGCTCCGGCGATTACAAACAGCGTGATGAAGACGTAGACTACAAGAAGAAACAAGATCTTTAGCAGAATTCATTGATTAGGCGCGAAATTAAAAACAAGTAAATCATTCTAACTTGGATTTTCTAGAAAAAAAATTATTGGATAGTTTAAGTTCAACGATGATACGTAGTTAAGTGAACGTTGCCGAACGTTCATTTTGAACTATTCATCAACAGACAATTACAATATTGTATAATTACAATTATGTATTCCGAGGGATAGAATGAAAAAAAGGAAGGGATTCTTCGGAAAAATCAAATTTTACTTATGACACCAACCCGTCCTCAGACAAAATAAAAAGAAGCAAGATACACTAGATAGTTTAGGCGATAGGACAGCTAGACTACCGGTGTGTGAGGGAGGGAGTCATGGTTTGTTTCTGGGCAGCGTGGGGGCGGAGCAGCTACAGCGCTTTGTGTGCGCAGGGTGAGGGCAGATGGTGGGTCAGTTAATCTCAGGGTGGTTAGGTTAGCGGTAGTTCATGTTGGATAAGGACAGGGGATGGTAAGTCTTCCTCCTTAGCCATCGCATTGGTCGCTCAAGTCAACGTGACGGTTGGTGCTACCCGCAGTAGAGTACCAAGCCTTTAAAAATGCTGGCGCTCGCTTTGTGCTGGCCATGGCGACGATTTCAATTTCACCCCAGTTAAATCGATGGTCGCACTCGATCGCGTGTGCCATGACAAGGGATAGG